GAAGTGCCTTTAATGCATGCACTCAAAGATAATAGAGGATAACTATGAGAATACCAGTTGGCTGGATGTTTGCATTACCTTAGTCGGTGGAAAGCGAATTCCGTATCCAAATCCTGTAACACGTTCACGGGTAAGTTATCGTTGGCACTCATCTGGCTCAACCAATTTCCAACTTCTGGACAAAAGATCCAGGTAAACCGCCTGGATGTAGCTAGAGATTTGAACTAAAATATTGCTCAAATGCTTTGCAACAGTTATTGCCAAGTGGAGTGTGGTACGGAAAAAACCCAAAGGCTGCAGTGGACCGAAGTTCAGCACACCCCCAGTAGTTGGATTTTCCTGCAGGTCTAAGAGACACTGTATCAGCAGTCCCCGGAAGGCCGTCAGAAATGAATTACGGTCACTGGGAAATTGAAAGACTCCGCAACGTAACCAACGTGACGAACCACTTTCGATTCAGTGACCAACGTCGACAGTCTACTTTCAGAAGCAGCATGAAATTAGTGAGTGCTGTTTTAGTAGGATATGGACAAAAGTTACATAAGAGACAGTGAAAGACCAGCTGGCTTAAAACTCCGGCCGATGTAAGGGCTATTATGTAAACAGCTTGTCTAATATTGACCAGTAAACACTACCGCTTAGATCATTGAGTTCTAGTTCAGTCTTCATCAAGAAGATCAAGGAGAAAATCAAGGAGAGTTTGACCGTAATGGTGAGGAGCTACCGCGATCGGTCGTCAGCAAAGGTGAAAACCCGTTGTACTGCGGGAATCGTGTTAGTCTGGAAATTGATACGCGTCCTCCGAGACGGCTTGGAATATCAGGAATCCCTGGGCGCTGGTTAGGACGGTAGAATAGCCGGCTTGTTTCCAGACAAGCAAATAACCTTATTGCTTGATAAGTGCGACGCCCAGAGATGCTTGCCTGAGCACCCCAACACAAAATCAAATTTTGTCGTCGGATATACAGTTGAGAGCATTTATCGAAATGGTCTGATGGAGCATCTCTAAAATATATAACGTATGGCTGAATTGTTAGCGAAACCACTAGAAATACGAGAAAGTATTCCCAAAATCATATGATTCCATGTGCGATACAACCAGGTGACGTTATAACGCCCGTATCAATGCTTGGAGTCAACAACGCTGTAGAATCAAACCATGTGACCCACTACTTCAGAAGATCAATGAAACGGAAGGAAACCTCCAAAAATTCGTTGAAAGTATCGAATTTATTCTGTCCAGTTTATGAAGCAGGAAGATCGAGGTCCCAGATGTGAACAACCTTTTACTTCGTACACTAGATCTGAAAGTCTGAAGTGGTCGGATGACATCCTGGAATACGTCAATACTTCCGGGCATCCATATGCACTATACGCGTTTATTGTGTGATTTGAAGACCATTCAGTGTGGAAATCTCCGTGCCTGGAGAATTTTGCTCAATTCACTTCCAACAAGAATGTGAAACAAAGCATCCAGTTTTGAACGAAGACTGAAGGACAGCATGACCAGCATACATGGGAAGTTGCAGGGTTTCGAGTGATGTAACATTTGTTACTACAGGACTACAGCTTTGTAATAGAGATAATGCCTCAGTTCAGTTCACGGTCTGATCCTCCCGAACACAACAACCAAAGGTGCATAAGATGTAAAAGCCTAAAACCATGCCAAAAACATATGTACAGTGTATCATGCATAAAGTGCACGCAGCGGTAACATTGTGCAAATTTGGACGTCTTTTGGACACAGCACGGGCAACCGGTATTCAGGGCATACTGAAACATGGCTGGCTGTTGGGTCCATATTTTCAACCAATCAGAGCTCGTCCCGGCGCTGGACCGGTAGATGGCCCGATCTTCTCACCAACCATGCGCGGACTAGGACTTTTGGTCACAGCAGCATCTTGCAAGGCCAATTCGTGATTCTGATTGACGGTGTGATCAAACGGAAATCACAACAGAGCAAGTCAGAGCAGGTCCAAGAGAGAAAGCTCGGAAAAGAATGGTTAAGTACGTCGGTGACAAACGTACATGTTGGCATACCCGTGTCGGACGGGGTGGCCTTAGCGGTAAGGTGGATGGGATGCAGAAGTGCGAAACAGGTAAAGATCAAAAAACAAAGGCTGGGTAGGCAAATTAATGGGGAAGTCATCATGGTGTCAAGTTAGTTTCGATAATCACCGTGCACATCCCAAGACCATATTCAACTGTGGCTGACGAATAAACAACTCTCCGGGAAGCCAGTGTGAGAAAACTTGAAGTTCCCTAATTTATAATAAGCCGCCACCAAGCCATGAAATCAGCGATCTCAAGGGTAATGGTTGTTTCGGGGGACTCGTGTAATCCGCATTATGGGAGATTAGTACAACTGTGACTTGTCTCTTCCCTCTATTCAAACTTCTCTCAGCTCGCCACACTCCTAGGTCTTCATCCACTAGGCCGTCACCTCTCTTCTATTTATTGTGTAACAAGACTGGAAGAGTTAAAACACAACCCTAACATGTCGCAAACATCACAGATTACTTGTATAGAAGACTACAGGAGAGAATGCATAAGTACTTCCCGTCAGGCGTGTGGGAGTCTAACATATTTTACTATGTTGGTGTCTCTGACGAAACTTGAAAGTGTATCCATCTTGAAAACTTGGGGGCTCTAAGATTTAGAAGACTCGGTCATATAGGTATTCGTTTCAGAAATCACGAGGTCAACCTGTTATGATGATGAACTTGACATAGCCTACAATGTAACGAGTACGTTAAAACAAAACGTCATCAGTACTCTGTATCAGACCGAAATCAATAGCAGCTTTCTACTGTCATCCGAACACCTCAGAGTTGCATACATAACAACCTCGGGGATGGAACCAGAAGTTCCATTTTTCTTTCTAATGAAGCAAACGACCTAACGAAGATCGGCAAAGTCCCCGCGACCACTTTCCATTTGCTTCCTGTTGAAATGGGTAGACGCACACATGGATCAAAGAGTGGAATCCACATTCCCTTCCGTACCGTCCTCCTAGCTGGATACCTGATAGTCACCTCCGTTAAGTACTGATTATTGAGTGCAAGCGGACTACACCCAATCTGCAAGCAGGCTCTCGTCTCCATAAACAGGGCCATCCCTAGCACCAAATATGCCACTATAAAGTATTATGACTATGAAACCGGTACTGGTCATCAACCGCCCAACCTTCATTGTGATGCTAATATCCTCTTTAATGATTCTGAAATGGGGAGCTGTCATTTTAGACGTCCCAGAAAACAGTGCACGTTCAGACCAACAGAGCTGAAAAAATAGGCTTATCACATCGCGTTCTTCTCGACATGTCCCCAATTTACACTAGCCTCGACATATCTGGGTTATTTTCAAACCCGGTCACAGTCCCTGATCTTCTAGATCCGTTTGATCCAACCAGGAAAACATAAATATCGGGGGGTGATTGCGGGACGCGTAGTTTTCAGGTTCACATCACTAAAACTTAAACAGTAATCCAGCTATCCTGGTGAATCTAGACCAAAAGGGAGCAATGAATTCGAGTGTCACGTTCCTTCGAACTCACCAGCACTGAGTTCGCATCGCCCTATAAACACGTAAATACCCATTATTAGATATACACAATGGGTTTCAGAAGCTGTAATTATGGTTCACACGCAGGTTCAAGCGGCTGCTAATGTGCCAAGCACACAAGGGTTAAATTGGCAGTCACCGAAACCCTATAGACGCTAGTATATGAGACTGGAATTTCGCCGGAAAACTTCAAAGTTGGAAACCTACTCGGGCGATAGATAACAAACGGTAGTTTTTAACCGAAAGTTTTGCAAGTTACCCAGGATTCCCGGTATTCGGGGACCTATAGTCTACTGTTGATCCTTCCTGTAAATCAACGACGATCAGCAGTTACATTCCTGTTGTGACTTCCGCTGCCTTGCCGCTCTGCTGGCTCGACCCTACCTTCCCGAACGTTTTGATAGTTTTCTGCGGCGTTACCCCTGTACTTTTGTACATCATATGGTACTTACTTGATACTGCCTCTAGAAAGCCCTGCCGCCTCACTGTCCATTTTTCTGCTCCTGCCGACTGCGCTGTCATTGACCATACATTCTGCTTAGTTCATGTTTATCAATCCATTGGTCCGTAGAACCAGTTCTCAACACTGAATACGAACAGTGTACCGTCCGACAGCTGCAATCGCTGCCCTGATCTCACACCTAACAAACCCCAGAACCTCGCACACGATAGCCATCCAAACGGGAAGTAAGCAAACAAGCCCTACAAGATCATTTCGAGATCCGCAAGTTAATAAAGCACCGTTTGCCGGAAAGGCGCCTCAGCAATCTATAGCCATTACACTTGTCCCCATTTGATAGACGTGGATAACCCTTGGACATCATGTGGCTGACATAGCTGTTTGTGACCGTAGCAAACACTCGAGCTGTCAGCTGTGCGGTCAAAAATTTCCCCACTGAAGCCAGTTAGCTGTTGCAGCTCCTATCGGTGCAGCCTGAATGCGGTGAAAGGCTAGTTCCATCAAGGATGAAACGATCGCTTGTGCAGTGTCAGTCAAACTAATACAATGACCCCAATGCAAGATGCGTGCATTCTGGGTGATGGCCGCAACGCTAGAGAAGGCAGGTTCCCACAACCATATACAGATCGCACGAGAAGCGCAACCCCCTATGCCTCTAATTCTAAGGCCATAGGCCTTGAAATGATAACAACCGAACGAGCACAATGTGCAGTACTCCATTTGGTTGAGAACTGTCAGAAGTACCCTCATTCGACCGCAACCGTTCAAGCATATCTCTGACAGCAAACCATAATTGGTGTTTTCCAGACCATAATCAACGCGAGAGGCTGATCGCGTGCCTAGACAACGTGCATATAAATCAGTTTACAGCTTAGCCCTTGATTTCCGGTGGGAGAGACACAAGTTAGGGAAATGCCGTGCATGGTTACTCGCTTAAGAGCAACCTGAACTTGGTCCAGATGTATGACCAGAAAGATGCGAGTTCACCTAGGAATTTATTTTCAAATCACGAGTCAAGCACGCTGTGCAATAGGACGTTGAACTTCCTGGCGTTGAGCGGGTTTCATCAGGGACTTTCGGATACGACGATCAGCCCGGCTTCTGTTTCGTAGGACTTTACCATGGATTGCACAACTGATGCAATACTGAAGCTTCACATACAGCTTGGGGACGGCGTACGGTTCTGAAGTGAAAACAAATAAATGCACGAACGAATAAATAAGACTCGCTTCAACATGGGGCCACTTATGGAACGGACAAGTGAGACACTAACAACCCTGAAAAGGATAGGAAACAAGGGATCGACAACACAAATGCATTTATCATCCTATCATACGAACATAACACAAAGGCCAATCAGTTTGAGAACCACCTACCATGATGACTGAGTGAGGGCTCTCACTAAACTGAATACAAATGTTCCATACATCACGGGCAACCAGGTCAGCTGCATCGGTACTTTCGGGGCTAAAGAAAGACTCGAATCATTTTCAAGTTTCCCGAAACTACGCAGATGTCTCGAACCCGTCTGGGAGCAAACGCGAAGGTAACCAAGCTCAGACTCGGGAAGGCACAGCAACTAATAGGGTTACGTTGAGGTGACGCTAAAACACCTGATATTCAGAAAGTGGAGCAATTACCGCCAGTGGCTTGTTCCAACCAGTATCGTGCCTTGCTGGATCGCTAAAAATCACTCGTGTTATCTGTGGAGAGACCATCCCTCAGAAGCAACTACTTTCAATCACCCGTTGAATTTTAGAACCCTAGATAAGCAAACTCTAAGCCTAGAAAATGGATCAATTTTCTGGTAAAGTTTCGGTCTAAATATCCCTCTAAAACAATTGGAGCCATCCGCAGGATCACAAGTGCCCACTTGCACTCAAGGGCGTGAAAATTGCTGACCTGTCTAAAAAATTGAGCGTAGGAAGCATGGGGGGTTGAGGTGATTTTAGTTTGCAATATGATTTTTTAGTGATTCCTCTTGAGGAGAGACTCCACACCTCAACAGAAGCAAGTTATGGCCGCTCTCCAGAATGGCTGATCAGTAGCACAGTCAGATGATAACATCACAGAACTGAAGGAATTACAGGGTATCGATATACAAGTTATTGAAATTACATTTTCACAAAAGCAATACTGTTGGGTATTAAGCAGTTCTTCAACAAGTCGAGGTACAGGTGTACAAGTCATTGAACCAATTTGACCGTGATTTTTCGGAGGAATATACCATGGAATGAAATGACACAACAGACTTTAACCAAGGTAGCTGGCTAACCTACCCGAAAATGATAGCAGTGGCTACGATCATGACCTATAAAGATCGAAACGAGATTCTCAGCCTGGACTTCGCCACGATGAGCTTAGCATATCCCTGTTACCGACCGAATTGCAGTGGAGAGTGTTCATCGCTGACTCGTTCACTGAAATGGACAATTTGGTAGTACACTTCACAACCAGCTCAGGTAATACGATCAACGCACCTGGATCGTTGAGAACACTTCAAGGAACGAATAGCCGACCAACTCCTGTTCAACTGGATTTCTCACAGGTAACAGAACCCCGAACAGCAAACTTCTAACAGTTTCCAAGATACAAGAGTGTATTTCATCTCTGAAGCGTCAGCAAACGTTGGTCCTGAAAACGTGGCGTTACTGCTAACATATTCGCTTCCACTGAAGACTCTGCTAACCAACTTTATCAAACTGACAGGTACCCGACTTGTGGCAATCACAGAGGTATCGGCTTGATCTCTGTTGCCATCCTTCTGACGCCAATCACCATCCACCATCTAACGATAAGATGTGGAAGTCTGGTATGAAAATACGACTGCGGAGTCCTGTGGGCAAGACCTACGCGCTATCAGTTAGTGCGACAGGATGTGTACAGGCGGTCTGAAAACAGATATTTCTTGAGTTCAACGAGACGCAAACCAGATTTTGAATTCACTTAGTTATTTGATGACGGGAGGAAAAAGGCAGCTAAGCACTGTGACAGCTTCGATGCCAGAATGCCACTGACTGAGTGACTGAGTCACGTCCGACAGCGTCGTTAACTAAACCCTGACGTCCCTATACACGGAGCCGACAGTTACCAATCTGAGTGTAGTCCATGGCGTTTTCATTCTTCGTTTCCATGTTACAGACTGTCCGTCTCTTCGTCGTTTTCACATGGCACAGACCTACGCAGAAGAGAACTGCGAATTGGACGGTCCTGTGGTAAGTACATATTCTAAACAGTGTAACCTACAGAAGGAGAGTGTCGCTCATCGTGGAGAAGACCCTTCTTCCTAAAATCACCCAGCTTACTCTAGCACTGCTAATCCGATGTTCTCATCAGCCCAACCGGTGGTCAAGCCTCTGCACCTACAGGCCAAGTTCCTGGTCCACAAAGCAGTACGGATGTTAGTGCAATAATAATAATAATAATAATCGTTCAGCTGTAGCACCCTTTGAACGTTTGTCAGCCCATTAAGCACGATGGATGATTGGATGGGAGATACACGGACAATGGACAGCGCCTTTAGCAGATGTATGCTGATTAGACTGTCTTTGTAACATCAGCTCTCGAAATGGCCAAAATCGTTCGACTAAGTGGGGCCTATATACCAAACCAGCCCCGAGCCCAAATAGACCACAATGTCGTCAGTTATCGGTGGCTAATCTCGACCACTGTCTGCCGCTCCTTCTGGAATGTCTGCGTGGACTCCGATCATGAACGTGCCCGTTGGTGATTTTATTGTCAGATTCCGCACATCAAATGGGAGACTACAACAGAGGGAAGGACAAATTCTAGATTAGAATCCTCACTAGTGAAAACGTGTGGAAAGGTCGGAATATTTCAACCGGTTTACAGATCAGTGTGAACCGCTGATAAAATAATTAGTCAGACTTTGGTTCTTATTTTATAGGACCTGGTGATGCCACCACCTTCTATGACCCTCGACCGCCTCAAGGAAAGAATGGTAACGTGGTAACAGCACGTCTGAGGGTGACAGGTTCATTGGAGGGGTACCATTTTGTCCTAGAAGTGTGAAAACCGCACTTCTGGATGTTGGTGCAGGAGCCACTTGGTCTCTCGGATCCAGTGATTTCAAATAGAAACAGGAGCAGCGTGCGACGAATTCTTTCGACGAGTTGGGCTTTCTAACCTCATTAATTGCACGCACTCTGGAAGAGGGGTAGGGGTCAACACACCCTACATTCCGACGAAGCAGACAGCCAATGAAACAAACGGTGATGGAACTGATGCACGAGGAATTTGAAGAACCTTACCAACATACACCGGTTACCAGCTACATCAATCATCAGCCGAAGCGCTCAGATAAGCGGTCGATTCTTTAGTGTGCATCGAAGCGAGATGTCTGACATTTTGTAGCAGTCGGACTGAGATCTGCCCACAAACGCTACTCACTTTGTTACGCATGCTGTCACTTTACGTATTGCACCCCTGGGACAGAGGGCCCTGACCACCAAGCCTTTCATCAGACAAGCGTGACCTTACCAACTACAGAGCAGTCAGCCTTGCACCAGTGGACGGCTGTACAAATGGGCTAAAAAATTGTTCAGCCAGGTTGCCCAAGCCTAGACACGGGAAATCGAGAGGTAGAGGTTGGGTTCAAACCACGGACCTTCCAGTCAGTAAATTCGCGCTCTAACCACTTGGGCCATCTCGCCCCCGTACAAATGGATTGCTAATTAGGGAAACACACTCGATGAGAAGTATGGAGTGTGCAGTCCTGTTTTTGCTCCTCTAACCTGATTATCGACAGTGAGCGCTGTAGATGACAGCAAACCAATCCAAATAGTGTTTGCTGTTACCAGAAAAGTCGACACTCTCAGGATGTGCGGAGATCTGTTGATAACCGTTAGGAGCATCGAGATCAAGGTGAACAAAACGACTTCCGAATCATTTGGCGCAATACCCTAATGTCCAGTTCCAGGTATCTGTACGACTGTATTTATGTAAAGAGCACACCGTCATTGGACGCTCCATGCCCACGAGCAGCAGCCATCTTAGGAAAGGTTTGAGGGATAATTGCCAATAAGTTCGATCAGACTAACGAATGTAGTGAACAGTGCACCGAAGGTTGCGGACACTGCGGTAAATATTCACACGAGAATTTCCCAGCGGCTCAGGATCTAACAGGTACTCCTCAGGTCACCGTACGATCACATCACGATAGCGGAACAAAAGCAAACCCACAGGATTGCCACGTGCTTGATTTAGGGACTTGGTAGTTCGACACTCAATGTGCGTTCCTCAAGGGTGGGACAATCGGAAGCGAACAGATCAATTTTCTCACTCCGAGTAGTGCCCTAATTCCTTGGCTTGCAAGGACACATCGGATGGAATCCGTGCAAGTTGGAGTCCGTGCTATACGTCCCAGAGTGACTCAGCTCTCTGATAATTGATGATACAAAGCCTCCTAAAAGTTGAAGATGAATAGACACCCACGGAGACACTACGCGATAAGAGCCGTCACCGAGATCGAGGTACCCTGCTGTCGTCAAGCTCATGCCTGGAATTCTTACGAATTTTTCAAGATTCAACCGCCGTAGACGATCATTCTCTCTCCCTTATCTGAAAGTTGAAAGTGTGAACGTCTAAGTGCGACCTCACGCCAGACTTAAAACGTGCTCAACGGTACCCAGCGAAAACTATCTCGGCCTATAGTGCCGTGGGCAGCCGAAACCTTGCCGCTGGATAAGTCACTGCCTAGAACGTCGAACCATCTGGATACTCTCCACACCAATCCAAGCCAGGCACGGGGTTAAGTATGTGTCTATCAAAACACGGTGACAGAATCCCGCGCTGGACACATGGACCTTTGGGAACCATATCTCACAAATACTGAACCATCAAGAAAAGAACGCAAAAAAGAGGCTTGGTTTTGTTCAGCCCGTATCTGTGCCAACTCCAGCAACTAAACGGACTGGCTCCGCGAAAGCTGATTGGTTTTGGACAGTATGTGGCCCACGGAAACTGTGCTCCAAGGCGCATCAACCGCCCCAAACGTCCCAAAGTGAGGGTCAAAACGGTGTCTATATTCGGCTCACTTTCATTGTAAACAGAGGCGTCCTCCAAATCCTTCACGGCAGCAACCTCGACCATGTTCCTCGTCACCATCTTCCAAACTGCTTTGTCCTTCGGGCAAGCACGCCCACAGTTGCTACACCTGATGAATCGAACATGGCCACGACCTTTCTTCGAACGACCGTGATTCCTCCTTTTACGCGTCTACACACAGTACGTTAAACAAGAGACTGGAAACAAACCATGTCGCACAGAATAAGTTCGAACCCCGCTGCGTGGCTCGATAAAACAACGACCGACTATACCACGTGCAATCAAATGCGGCACCTCAAAGAGTACAAAGGCATCATCCGAAACCTAAAGAGTCCTTTACTTTCAACTGATTTCTACTCAGCATACAGCGAAATTAATACTGAGATTTGATGGGTTTTTGCGCCCAGTTTGAATTTGGTGGCACAAGGCCTGGTGCTGGCCGGCGGTCAGAAGCATATCCAAAATTTCTCTGAAACTGTGGTTCGAAGGAGGAAAACTTTAACATAAAGTTTTAACATTTGATGGTAATTTTTCGGGCGTATCTTCCCAAACGGCCGCAGTTTTGTTGAAAGTTGTTTAAATCTACTCAATCCACACGATATTCAAGACCCGGGATATTCATATTTTAAATGGCTGCTATGGCTGAGCACGTGAATGCGGAGGATGATTTGTGGAGAGTTTAGCTCGTCAAAGATTTTTCTCGTTTAGTGCATTTCAAGTCGCTTTGAAAGAGTACCAGACGAAACATTTCGTTGTTTCCGTCCGTATAGACTCCAAAAAGAGCAGCAATTCGCTACTTTTGTATGAAAAAGCCTCCTACCGTTGCAGTATACATTTCTGCAGACGAAGCCGAAGCCGTGGAATTCGTCGCACCTAGTAAGTTTATGGTTGACTGTGTATACGTTGTAGCACACGTCGTACTGTTTGTCCGGCAAGGTTCCATGTTTGCCGGTACATTGACTCCTTGAGGGTTACTTCCTACTACCTGGAGCACAACCATCCACGCAGCAAGTTTAGTTTTGACAGGCTCCCCATCAACCGGCGACTGAAAAATGATGAATTAAAGGAGTGCTCTACCATTTTGAAATACGGTGCTCCGTCATCGGAGATTCGGCAGTACATCGCCAACCACTTTGGAAAGGTACTCACTATCAAGGATGCGTGCAACTCTCGCGCCAAATGTCGATCCCTATTGTTAAGTAGGTCGCTGGTCACCTTTTAGTCGGTTTCTTGGACGACATGTCATCCATCATAGCGAAGTTTCGAGAGTGCGGTCGCGTGTTGCTGGTGGAATCGGAGGGTGGCAGATATAGTCACATGTGCTTCTCTCGAACGCAGCAGATAGCACTCTTTAGACGTTTCCCGGACGTTGTATACGTTGATGCTACACACGGTACTAACCGTCTTGGGTAAATAAATTTAGAGCCACTGACGTTCGTTGTTAAGGTACAAGCTTTATACACTCCTTGTGACGGATGGCATGGGTATCGGTCGAACCGTATTGTATGCCTTTGTCGAAAGCGAGCGTTTCGCGCCATTGCGCAAGCCGTTCAGCTTGTTCAAGGATATGATGGGTGGACCCTGTGAAGTCAAAACGTTCCTCATGGACAAGATGACTTCGCAGACGTGGGCCGCCAAAGCCGTATTTGGCTGCAATATAATGCCGTACTATTTTCACGCACGGAAAGCCATCCGTAAGCACGTACGTTTCATTGCTTTCATGTAACTTTTGCAGACAATTTCCAACCGCAGTCGACACATATTCCACCGCATGGCTCACTTTGATAATGCACCTGTGTAAGTGACTGTTCACCAAACATTAATCCCGTAGATTTCGCTACGATTTGCAAATCCTGAGGAGAACAGATCCCAGTTTTATCTCTTATTTGACTGCCCACTGGCTCCACATCACTCGAAAGTGGGCCATTCGTGCACAACGTGGGTTGGTACATTTTGGAAATGTGACCAACAACCGCCTGGAGAACGCCAACGGGCGTTTGAAGAGGCGCGTGCATCACTCAGCCTGGAGCATGCCGTTCTGAAGGTCGCTCATCGCAGCGAATGGCTAATGCGGGAATATGAAATGCACACCACTTATTGTTGTGACCGTCGAGAAATTCGGGAGGGAGACATCTACGTTCTACGTGTGGTTTCCCGGATGAC